CCTGAAGATATAAATATGAAGGATATGATTAGATATTCCCTGTTTTTTTTTAGGGAGAAGCTGAGGAGAAGGTGCTAAATCCACCACCTGACTCCTCATCAGGACAAACAAACCAGGTACAAAATAATGCATCTTATTTAATTCTTCGTTTTATGTCGACTTGTTTTGTTGTTTCTAATCTTGTTTTTACTCCCACACCCAATTTTTCCTACTGTGGGAGAGTAAAGGTATTACATATCTTGTCTCTGCTTATTGTCAGTAAAACTGTAGGTTAAACTTTCTGTTCTTGCCTTTCTGTCTGCAGACCTCTACAAGTAATGAATTGATGCAGATATTTTCCCCACCAATGACAGAGCCTCTGAGCCCAGATCAGATCCCTTCTGTAAGCCAGCCAAGTAAGTGATTACCTGAGTACCAATGAGGTTCTTTCTGCTCTGCCTCCACCTGCAAGATTTCTTTTGTCTGGAAATGTGAGGATATCATTGATTCATGTGGCTAGCATAAGGTTTATTGATTTGAATTTCATACATCTGTTTGTTAAAGTTGACCTCCTCTGCTACGGCTCCACAAAAAACAAATATCCAAGGTTAGACCAGAACAATGTTCCAATGATGGCTGGGATGCCATTCAAGTGTTTGGATGATAAACCATGTTTGGGAAGCAAAGAGAAGGAATGCAAATACAGTTTGTTTTGGCAAGACTAGACAGAGAATAAAACAAAGTTTACGGAGATGTTTAAACCATGACAGGAAACTGCACAAAGAACCACAGGAGTTTATAAATAGACCAGGGCAGTGCAGGACAGGTGGTGGAGATCAACCTGCACAATCCAGCCCGAATACAAAGTCAATTTATGGTTGTTTTTTTTGTTTTTTTAGAAAAGACATTCATAAGGCTTCAAGCAGCAATTGGAGAGCAGAGAAGTGGAGACATGTTATCTATAGTAATAATTTGTTTCTCCCTGAGTAGGGGTTTGGTAGTCGCCAGGAGAAGGGCTCCTGCCTGACTGCATAATGTCAAGTCTGATGTTCGGTGTAGAGAGGAGGATAGTGTGAGTGCTTTCTCTGAAGTTACCCCTGGTTAGTTTGACTGATTAGAAGATTTAACTTTTATTACTGATCCCAACTTTGTGCAAACTGTTTGCATATGGTCCCTCCTAGTACAATTATGGTTGAAATTACTAACAGGACATATTACAGTGTCTCTACTATATCTACACAAAGTCAAATAAGGTATCTGCACAGAAATATTTCAGTGTAAAGATGAAACAACATTAAGTCAGAGGAGCAGGAACGAGGTTGTTGCAACAATTCCAAGTCAACGTGTGGCTCTGTAACAATGCTAAAGAAAAAGGCAGAAAAGGAATAAAGAAGCAGTATGTAAACGATGCATGAAGAAGAGTGTCAACCAATCACAGAAGAGAAAATCGTGTAGATATAAAATTCAAAATAAATCAAAAAGCTTCTGAAAACTTGTTTTAAAACAGAGCTACAAATCTTATGTCTACCATTGCTGTTGTTTGTGTTGGTTCATGCATATTAGAGGCAGTGAGGTCTACATTTAATTGCATGTGGAAACTTAACATTTTGTAGTCAGTTTTGTGGATAAGGGGAGATTAAGACAGAAGTTTTTCCTTTATTCTAACTTATCCGTATAACAGAACATTATTCTGTCCGCATCTAACATTTTAAAAATGTGCCTAAAAGAGGAGGTGTTAGGTGGACCAGGGAATACAGAGGCAGAGGCAGTGACTGAAAAAGAAAGTATTAGACACACAGACACACAAACAGAGTAAATTGCCAATGCCCCAGACATGTAGACAACACAATAAGCGACCCTGTACAGTTTATCAGCAAAACAAGTGGATGATCAAGTTAGATACAACAATTTTGGACAGATATGACTTATGCAATCAACTTTCAATTTACTGGTCGGTCTTACAGCTGAAAATCAGCCCCTCCAAGTATGAGGCCATGGTTCTCGACCAGAAAAGGTGGCTTTTCCCCTCAGCATGAAGGAGAGTTACTGCCTCGAGGGAAAGAGTTCAGGGACATTGGGGTCTGGTTCATGAGAGAGGGGAGGATGGAGCGGGAGACTCATAGACAGATCCAAGCATCTGCTGCAAAAATGTGGATGCTGCACTGGTCTGTGGTAATAAAGAGAATGCTGAGCCAAAAGCCAAAGTTCTTGATTTACCAGTTGGTCTATGTTCATGACCAAAAGAACAAGATTCCAGTACAAGCGGCTGAAAATAGCTTTCTCTGCAAGGTGGCTGGAAACTCCTGTACAGATAGGGTGAGGAGCTCGGTCAGGAGTCAGCTGAGGTGGCTCTGAAATCTGTTCCAGATGCCCCCTAGATGCCTCCCTCGGAAGGTGTTGTAGGCATGGAAGAAGGGACAGGAGACCACCAGGATACCCTGGTGGGATGCTCTCGGCTGGCCCTGAAGTGCCTCGGGCTTCTCCATGAGGAGCTGGAGGAGGTATATGGGGAGAGGCAGGTCTGAGAGTCTCTTCTGAGACTGCTGCCCGCCCGACCCAGTCCCAGATAAGCTGAAGACGACGAGTATAAGTATTAAAAAGTCTTTAAATATTCAGGAAAAACACAAAATTTGGTAATAATTTAACAGTCAAATGTCACCTGATTTATTGTTCTTATAAGTACCATATTCCAGTAACTTTCATTTGGTACAAATCTACTAAGAATCTTGTCTGATATAAGTTTCAACCAAAATATTAACAGACTTTGTAAGATTAGTACATATCATATAAGTAGTGTTGTTTACTTTTAATTAATTATGATGGTAGGGTCTGAAACCTTTAAAGAAATAATCAGCCAAAAACTCAGTTTAATTCAGAAATGATAGGTTTTTATGTCAGACTTCTCAGATTTATCAAATTTAAGAATTTCCCTTTCGAGTTCTGTAGATTAATCTTTCTGAGAAAATTGCTGTTTTTGTGCTCTGGATGTTATTGGGATCTACTTGACCTAGACCATTACTCTTTCATTAGTTTATAATAGTAGCTATATCAGAGTTTATTAAAACAATATTTTGGAGTGAATCCATTCTGCATTTCCCTGTGGGCCGTTCACATAGAGGAGGGTGAGTCTAAAAGTTGTGGCTATTTCTGAGCGGAAGGGAAGAGATTACAGCCGATAATAAAGTAAAAAGCTCACATGTATTTAAATATGACATTGAATATATACAATGTATGCAAAAGTACTTTAGACAAACATATTGAATATATTTACCTCTTAACATCGGCACCTGTAAAAGGCTGTTCCAAAAAGTCAGCATGTCTGATAGTATCACTGCTACTGTGCAAAGAATGCAGAGATATTTTAATGACAGGAAAACAACCCAGGCTCCCCCTGTTTTGGGAATGTGTTAAGCTTAACTACAGAAAGTAATACAGAGCCTTATGAGCAAACAAAATTATAAAAAAAATAAATTTTTGATATCACTTATCATTAGGTGTGTCAATGTCAAACCAAACAGGCATAGACTTTGCTGCAGCTGGAAAAAAATGTTATTACTTAAAAGCTATGGTAGCATTAATTTGTAGTTAAGAGGGCTTAAAAACAAACAAATAAAAAAAAATAATGTAACATGGAGCACTGATGGAAGGTAAAACAAGGGCCGGATTTTAAAGTGACAGGACAAGAGCGGTGGATTCCTCACACAATAATACTAAGTTCATCTGACTGCGGAACATCTATCTAAATCCGGTTGTCCAGCATAATATTGTGCAGATCTGCACAGACTAAAAAGGATGTCACACTATTGCTGTATTGTGTGTGAATTTGCAGGGGAAAAGAAAGGAATGAGTTAACTCATGAATTAATGCAGACATGTTTAATTTTCAAAACATGAGACCTCATGCATTGTGTAGTGATTATATTGCAGAATAACTTTTGGATTTATTTCAGCTTCTCCTGCAGAGTCTCCACAGCAAGGCCTCTCCACCGCTCAGATTCTCTCCATGTTCCCCAGACAGCCACCAGGGGGCTCCCCATACATCTCTCCACCATTATCTCCAAATCCAATGCCCTGGGGTCAGCAGGGTCTTCTGGGCAACCAGACAGGGTTCTGGCCCTCTGTTCCTGGAATGCCAGCTGGGGGACCACAAGGTGTTATGGCGCCCCCTGCTGTAGTTCAGCCTCAACCTGGATTTATGATGATGATGAGCCCAACTGCCCCCCAGCCACTTAACCAATATCCCAATCCTTTAAACTCCATCGCTATGCCTAATGGAATGGCCGGAGCACCCGGAGCCCCTGCGATGGACGACAACCCCCTCCTTGGATGAACTGGATATAATTGGAAATGCTTAACTTTACGGTCAGAAAATCCAAATCGACTCATATATATTTTTTGATCAAAAATGGAGATGAAGACTCAACACATCAAAGAATTGTACTATTTGGTGTTTTTTCTGCTCCCCTTAAAGAATCTTCATAAATCAATACTTCACTTTTCTTAACATCAACCATCTGAAAAATTTCTCAGTGGCCCTTAAAGAAATATTGTTTTATAGACTTACATTTATGATAGAACTCGTGAAAATGAACAATCTGCAATATCTACTGATCAGTTATTGTACATCCATTTGTATTACTGATTACAATATTCTTAAATATCATTTAAGCTTGATAAACTGAGTGACATTATTTTTTGTAAATAATAGCTTAGCAAATGCATTATTTGTTTTTAAGGAGTTTTTGCCAGAGATCATTTTTGGCTGTACCTAGATCCCATTCATTTGCCCTATGTTTAATTTTACATTCTCTCCTACTGTTAACCTTCTGGATCTCCATAAATACAGAAACAATAAATGGTCAGTTTGCCTTTATTATGTGATTCACTAAAACTGTGCTTTTTTTTTGGCATTTTAAGTAACTCTACGTTTTATCAAGCACGCAGAAACAAACAGGGGAGGAAAGAAACCCCCCGCCTGACATCATATAGTGTCGTTTGCAAACACCCTGCTGCCCACGCTGACTTGCAGATCATTTCCTCCTTTTCTGTAAGTTTAGTCACAGGTAATATGGCTGTTTGAGCAGCAAGACGGGCTACTAAGGAATAATAGCTGGACATGGAACATTCTATTCATTGATAAGTCATCTCTAAAGACAAAATGGTAAGAAAAAGTCTATTCTACAGTAACATACCTTAAGGATATAACAAAAAAAAGACCCCCAGTTGGACTGTTTAAACTTCTTTTCAGGGTGGATGTTTGACTCTGGTCATCTCCTACACACCGCTGAGGTCTATTTATAGTTTAATGATGAGGATGTTTCTGTTGTTTAAATTCAGGTTCCGTCCACAGACTAATCTAGAAAAAGCTCAGAAAAAAGTTGTATATTTTTTTCCAAAATAAAAAAGGGAAGTTGGAGGTTTAAAAAGGAAAACTGTCCCTGCTGCAGCTGATGAAAGGACGCCTTTATTGCAGCGTTATCATCAGTCAATTATTGACAGCGTCGCTTTACTTCACCCTCTGTAATCTGTTTTTCTAGCTAACTTTCCTTCTTTTTCTGTATTTACAAAATGGTGATATGTTTTGACTTTTAGCTTTTATTAAACCTAAATGATTACCTATTTAAATTTATTTCACAATAGAACTTTATGAAACAAGCTACAGCTTGACTTTGATAGGTTTTCATGACAAACTTTATTTTAATCCGCTTTTGTTGCAAAATGGTGCCATTCAAAGATTATTTGAAGTATTTAAAAGGCCTAATTTATTTTCGTTACTAATTTAAATTTATGAGGAATGAACATCACAGTAGAAAAGCCTAATTTTAACACATCAAACATGTTCAATTCACCCAGCATGATGTGTGTCTCGACCACAATTGAGTCATATTCCATTTATGTCACCATTTTCTGTTGCTCTGTTAAGTTGCTCTAATTCCTGCGCCCTGTCTCTCACACCTGCACAGCTACAGTCTGTGGCAAGGCAGTTGTCTGAGCTCATGTACTGAAATGCACACATAACGACACACGCGCCTCCTTTGCTGCATGCGCCCTCTGTCTGACTGAAAGTGGAACCTATGAGTTTTGGTGCATGCTTGTTTTGTGGTGGAGAGACATTTTTTTCATGCTTCCTTTGTTCCCTGTAATAAAGAACAGCATTGCATAGAGTAAGCAGCGAGCAGAGGTTGCAGTTTATTGGTGCAGGGTTGTGCTTCCATGGTAACCAGCGCAGGATGCTGGCTGAGGCAGAGGTGTGCGGTTGCAAGTACTTCCTGTTCTTCATCCTCTGTTTGACATTGGACAAAATATTGATAGTTTTTGTTTAATTCTTTTGCCTTTTTTTAAACATAATTGATTCTTTTTTACTTTAAAGCTAATTAAAATGTCATTCAAAATGTAGATAAATAAGATTATTTTTTTTTAATCACTTATTTAGGTTTAAAAAAAAAAAACAAGCAGAGGATTTCTGCCTAAGCCTCCCTGTCAAGCTGAAAATGACAACACAGAATCTGAATTAATTGTATTTTTATTTTTAAGTAATGATGACAAACAACCAAAGAACAATTGGATAAAATGAAAGTAAAACTATACTTTCTGTTGATGGGGCACTCAAACAGGAAACCTAAACATAGACAGCCATAAAGATAAAGATAAATCACAAACTGGGCAAAACTTGATGAACCTCTATTATGTTTCCTCCATTCAGGATGCTACACACAAGTTTTTATAGATTATTTAGGACAGAATAATTCATTTAAATAATGATCCAAGAACTTTAAATAAGTTCTTGAATCATTATCTACCTATAAGACCCAGTCATGTTTTTCTGTCACAAATGCCACAAGATTAATAAAAAAAAATTTCCCATTTGCATGGCTGCTATAGAGCCTTGGTGACCCCAAAAGACTCCTTGCAGCAGCTCTTCAACAGATTTTTAACCTTCCTTTATCGTCATGCTCCCCGTACGTGAGGGCAGGATAAACCTTGTTGCTCATTCAGCCTTGATCACACCAACTTAAGTTGCTCTACATTTTTTGATTGGGTTGATCATGTTAAATTTGGTTGGTTTCTTGTGGCTTTGCAGATTTTGAAACTCAGCGTTAAATGTCCTATTTATTACTTTCTTTGGTATTATCATTTTATTCTCATGTGTTTCCCCCTTATTTAGGCTGGCTACAAAAATATATTCCCTACATTATATATTTTTACAAACGGTTTTGTATCTTCATTCTAAAAAGTAAATAATGCTGTATAGAAAACGCTCAATTTACATTTAAAACTAATTGTATGCAGGTGCATTTATCATGAAATGTGTTATTTTGTTTGACTCACACATAAACACACTATCTAAAGGTCCAGCTCTTTATCCGTCTGGCAACCTGTCCAGATTCATCACATCTCAACACAAAAACACATAGACTCATTGCTATGGACAACATCTGAGAGACCAATTAACCTAAAAGTCATGTTTTGAGATTGTGAGTGTTGAGTTTAAAAATTCTGCCCGTTCATTTATCTGAGAGGGGAGTGGATTCTATTGGTCAGATGTAAAAAAAAAAACTTCAAAAAAACTGAAACATTTCTTTGTCTCTGCCTCAGGTTAATCTTGATCCCAGCTGATTGGTTTGTTTTGTCCAACTGTCCAAATAGTCATTTTAAATCAGTAAGTCAACGATGAAACTCACAACCTGTGTCAAAGCAAGACCCTTTCAGTTTGGCTTTAATAATAGATACAATCCAGCTGAGTGCTGTGTTGACCTCCTAAACCAGTTTTATTTAACTGCGGTCGTTCAAACACTTTCCCCTCCAATAGAAAATGTCTTCATCTAAACAGGTGAACAGACACACTGAGATCATGCAAACTCCATGCAGAAAGAGGTTGCATGAACCCAGGCTCTTCTTGCTGGCAGGCAATAGTGCTAAGCCACTTCTCCACCATGCAGCCCTTAAATAAATGTGCTGAAATTAAAGTGTATATCAAAAAAAAAAAAAAAAAAAAAAAAAAAAAAAGTTACAATTATGCTGCTATAATAGTAAATTATTTATTTAATTTTATTTTACAACTTGTTCTAGTAATAACCAGAACAGGACATGTGAATGAAAAAAATTTTAGAATAAAATAGAATAAATATATTTTAAAGCAATTTTTATCCATTATATAAAATTGCTTTGTAACTCAGATATAAATACTGAATTTAAAATGGAGCATTTAAATCTATGCATGCTTTATTTCCCCTCCCCCAATAAGATGGGATGTGCAGAAATAGTTTGCTACAGAAATATATTCTGCCAGTGAAGTGTTTTCTTTTGCTTTCATAAAAGTTCTGTGGTTCCTCTGAGTATTAGATGAGTTCTTCGTCATATAATTCTTAAAAGGGCTGTACTATGTAGGGTTGAGCATATCAAAGAGCGTGGTGTTTCAAGCTTTAAAGTTCACATGAAATAACACTAATTGAAAAATATCTGTGCTGAGAATTATATTCACATGCTTTCTGCTTAATGTTCCCTCTTATGACTAAAACGGACATGCACCTGCAGTGGTCTTAAGCAGAGAAAGGGATAAGTACCCTCAGTAAGGTTTTTGGAACTGCGAGTTTGAGATTTTTAATTCATTCTGGAGAATGCAGGTTCTGCCACATAAGAATGCAACTATTTACCTCAATGGATACAGCATTTAACGACCAGACTGCACTGCTCTTGTTTTGGAAGGCCTTTTTCAAATGTTATTTACCAAACTGTCAATAAACCTTTTACAGCTTTCCACCTTATTCTTACATCACCTGATGCTGTGCATAGACTACTGGAAGCATAAGTTTGGCAAATACAGAAGAAACCCTGTGGGAAAGTCTAGTTTTACACTTTAAACAGTGGCACTACTGCACTATTTAGTATTTACAAAACCTGATCTGTTTTCATCAGCACTGTTTATGATTTCAGGAGCCATTGTGTCTTTTCAGTCGATGAGTTGCAGCAAAAGCAATGGAATGAATTTTTCATCCTCCAGGGGTTTTGTATGTTAGTGAAAGATACTGGTTTAAAGTGTGACCTCTTTCTCATCTGCAGGCTACGGGCGGTAAATAATAATCCATTTACACAGGGAAATTCTCCATACTTAACAAAACAGCATTGGATGCCACGGGTTAAACTTATTATGACAAAAGATGCAGCTGCAATCAAGTCATATATATTTTTTTTTGTGTGAGTCAACACAATGTTGGTGAGGTGGTCTTCTCCTAAGTATCAAGCTAAAGCCAAAACAAATTTTGACTTTATTCTCCTTTTTTTCACCAATTAGCACTTAGTCTGCATTCAAATCAAACATCTTCACTGGTCTACAGATGAGTCTGAAGCAAGTTTCTAGATGATGCATTGTGTGAGAGGAAAGGAAGCACCATTAGAGGATTTTTTTTCTATCTTAGATGCCAGAAAATCTTGTTTCATCAAGAATCATGAGGTTTATTTATTTATTTTTTTTACCTTAGGCATCATCTTCCTTCTTAAATACACGTCTGAACTCCCATGTCAATCGGTTGTATATGCCCAGTGGAAATTTGGCATTTGCTTGACTAACAGAGCACTGTTTATGTATGTAAACATTATCTATGTATGTAGGCTTGTATTCCCTGTGTATTTGTGGGCTCTTACTAGGTACTTTGACATCCTCCCACAATACCAAAACATCTTAGGTTAATTTCCAATGCCGTCAATCTATGGGCGTTGACATGATTGTTTGTCCTCTGTGTGTCTATGTGATGGACCTGAACGAGGTGCCAGAAGGTAAGTGAATAGATGGACCTTTATTTAGTGTGTGTTTCAAACCATCTTATGGCATTGCAGCTTTGCCACCCTCAACAATTCCTATAAGATAAATCTAACTGAAGATTTTTCTATTGCACCACAATTTTTAAAACGAAAATTATATATTCCATTTTGCACAGCCATCTTTGAAAATGAGAGGGCAAGAAAACACAAATAAGAACAAGGAATGTGTAAAATCCCTTGAAATACATTGAGCATATATGCAGCTGAAGATTATCAGTCATCCAGGTCATAGTAATTCCAAAAAAATAAACAATCCACTGGACTTTTTTTCCAAGTTCGAAGACGTTTCGCTTCCCATCCAGGAAGCTTTTTCAATTCAAAAAGGCAAAAATAGTGAGTTAAAGGCTTTATAGAGTGGACCAAAGCAAAGCATTGTTTTGGCTTAGAAACATCCAAATATAAAGATATTAAAAGACAATATAAAGCTTCAGAGCATTCCTCTTTATATTCGAGAAACCAAAAAACCTCTCCACGGATGCATGGCCCAACAGCAGAGCGGCCTCCTCTGGACAAGACTCTGCGGTACATCTACACCTTATTGACAGAGGACATTCTTTTGAGAAGGTTGACATTTTGGACAGAGAGGATAGGCGGTTTGGGAGGGGTGTGAAAGAAGCCATTAATGTTAAGAAAGAAAAAACATCCTTAAACAGAGGGGATGGACTCAGATTTCAGCTTTAATTGAGTGATTCAGCAATTGAGTTGATTTCTTCCCGCTATCATCACAACCCCCAACCCATTACAGGGGACCAGAGCACCTTGGCTCTTCAGCCAGGCCAACAATTCCCTGTAATGATCCCCCTTTCAGAGACATAGAAAGCTTTCGGGTATTACAGGCTAAAATAGAAACAAAACAGCCCCTATCCCAAAGGGGTGGGCCCACTTGTCAGGTTCAATTTGCATGTTTCTATGCCTAAACAAGGCTTTGCTTTGGTCCACTCTATAAAGCCTTAAACTCAACACTATTTCTGGCATTTTGAATTGAAAAAGCTTCCAGGATGGGATGTGAAACATATTCAAACATGGAAACAAGGTCCAGTGGATTGTTTTTTAACTTTTTTGGAATTGATCTTAAATTTCATTTGCTTTATATCATCAAGAACACTGTAAGATTTAGGCTGTCTGCATTGAGTGGAGTGAAATAAAATGTAATTGTTGCACAAAATGTTAATATATCTTACATACCGAAGCCGAGAGCGGTCATACTCGATTTTTTTTTTCTTTGCCTTCTTGAGATAATGAGATAACTATCTCGTTTTCACCGTTAAACCATTAATTGTTTTCTCGAGATAACAAGATAATTACCTCTTTATCACAAGAAAAATGTTGCTGATTTCTCGAGATAATGAGATGATTATGAGTAATAATTGAGGGTGGCAAAAAGCCCTGGATTCCCCGTTCATCCACTCCTGCAATGCCCATAGTTGTGCAATCACGGTACAGTGTGTGCTCAAATAATCAGGTTTTTAGTTTCCTTTTTCTTTTCACTTCTTGTCAGGTCGTGGTGGATGATTGGATTGCATGAAATACAGTAGAAACAAATCTGACTGTTTTTTAAATGAAAATCTTTAATCTGGATCATTTTGGGTATTAATGCAACACCAGAGCTGTTAAGAAAGAACCCTGTGCTAAGGCGATGGAGACAGAGGTCTAATTGCTTAGGAATCAAAAGTGGAAGTCATCAAACCAACAACGTTTCGTCTTGTCTCGTTACCTAAAAGTTAAACATGGGATTATTACAGAATTACAAATAGGTTGCCATGATTTACACTTATAAATCATTTTCTGCTGCGTTGGTATTGAAGGATGTAATATGTTTTAAAACACACCAATCATCTCGTTATTCCAAGACAACCGCCTTCGTTTTCTTTAGATTATGAGAATATTAACTTGTTTTCAGGAGAAAACCACCGTGAAAAGGTATCAGAGGGACATGACCGCTCTTGGCTTTCGTATTTACACTGCAAAAAACTTAAATATAAATAAGTATTTTTTTGAATTTAGGAGGTAAGTGAGGCTTTTTGCCAGCAGAACAGGACAATTTACCCTTAAAATAAGTAAAAAATAATTGCTGTGTCTTATTTTAAGAGCATTGTATCTAATTATCTTATTTTAAGAGTAAACAATCTTATTCCATTGGCAGATCATCTTATTTACCTACTCAAATTAAGGACAAATTCATTTAATTAAAGACAATTTGTACTTTTTTTATAAATGTTTTTTATAGTGTACATCCATTTAATAAACAACAGAATATCCGCTGATCTCCATAATATTACACACTGATGTTACAGACAAACAAACTGAGCCAAACATCTTGTTATTATTCAGTTTTTTGATGTAGGACATTCAGCATCCCACAGATGTTCCACTATATCTAACATTGGTAATCTGGTGTTTTCAAGTTTTTTCCTTATTTTGTTTGAACACCAGACCAACCTAAATGGATTGTTGCTGAAATCTCAGTCTTAGCCTTGCATGAACAAATGCAGGGTCCTAGGTAGAATTAAACAAAACTGAACAAACCTAGCATGTTAACATATTTGATGGTAGGACTGAAAAGTCTGTTTCCTTTCATTGTTCTTGAAAAACAGATTGACATGTGTTAGCATAATTAGGAAAATTATCATTTATGATGTGTGAGGTTATTACAGTTTAATATTCGCTGCCTATTGCTTGTCAGAACTGATGTTTTCCCCCCAGTAGTTAATCTAAATAGGCCAGTTCCTCGGTACGGCTATATACATTTATAATCTTCATTCTGTACGTTGTAAAGATTTGGTAATGGAATGAGAGCGGTGTCCTTCAGCTAAGAACAAAGTGTAATTTTCATAAGGCTGAAGCGATGGATGTCTCCTCATATGCAAACACGTATGATGTAATGATGTGGCATACTGAAGCATAAAATGCTTCTCTACCTGTATGTCAGGGCCACTTCCCGAGAAGTGAGCCCGGTTGGTAAGATGCTGCCTTCTGCAACCCTAAGTAACTCCTCTGATCTGAGTCAGATTACAATCTCTATAAAAATCTGTTGTTATATCTCATGGTTATTTCATACATATATGTTATGAAATGTTATTTAAAAAGTTTGTTCCGAGTTATCTCTTTTCAGGAAAACGAACCAGAGAGAGAAAGCTTCAACTACTCTCTCAAGTAGTGTGATCAAAAGATCCAGGCTTCTTGAAACAGTTTTAGTTGTTTTAAACAACAATATCTCTAACTGAGCTCTGAATTGTTTTGAAAAGGGCTAGAAGAAGATGAGAAAGTCCTTGGAATTTTAATAAGAAAGTTAGTTTTAGGTAATATATTTTGGGTTGAATTAACTCTTTATAAATATTTGTTTTGCTTTCTGTTGTATTAGAGGATGGATTGATTGTAATGCTTTTTGCACATGTTTCCCAGACTAAGTGGCAGTGAATAGTGTTTCATTTGCCAAAACTCTAATGAATCAAATATGTTAATCATGTCTAAGATTAACAAATGTGGCCTAATTGCAAAAAGTTATACACCTTATTCTATATCAACCTGATAGCAGAACTACAAACTGGATTTGCAGTCAGTCTGATGCAAAACAACTGTTTCTATTTGAATCTGTCTCCCCTGCACTGCCTTGATGGCAGGGTAGCTTCAACTTATTCTGGATATCATGTAAACATGACTCTCTGCTCCCTCCCTTCCCTGAAGACATCTGTGAACCTGTTCTGTGTGCAGTCAGCTGATGAATATTACATTGTAATATCAAGGAAAATGGCCTCTGGGACAGTTCTTTATGCACATATGTTGCACACACTTACATGCACACACACACACACATACACACACACACACACACACACACATGCTCATTGATATAAACATATGCTACCCCCCATACCACCTTCACCATTCTCCCGCAAGATGTTGTTTTCTATCTGTGTTGCTTTTTTTTTTTTTGCTGAGGTTTTTTACAATCTCAGACTGTATCCTGCTAAGCTTGAAATGTGATTTTTCTTTTGCCTTCATCTTACCCATAGTGATCCTTTCTCCATTTTTTTCTTAACTAATTTAGGGGCAGTGCGTTTGACAACACGTCCTGTGTTTTGTCGTTTCTTGGATGGGCTGTACAGAAACTCTTTTTTTGCCATACTGGATTGAAAAATAAAGCTATTCTGATTTTCTCACATGGTTTTGAACAGATTTATTAAACAAGAATTAAAGTTAGAATAATTGTTGGTCCTAATGTAGACTGATGGGGTGTCCAGGGTTTAGTTGACCTCTTTGAACCTGAAACTAAAAAAAAATTATAGAAATTAGGAAACACAAATAGATTTTAATGCAGAGCAAGCATTATTATAATCAACTTGAATTTTTACGTTTTTCTTTGAAGTATCCGATTGAGGGGATTTATTGCTTCTTCTGGTACATTGTTATTCAGAGTATTCAGGGAGGCTTTTTTTGGTAGAGCAAAGAGATTTATAAACTCTGTGAAAATGAAATCAGGAAACAGAGATGCTGCACTGTGCCTTCTCACTTTGAAAAGTTAGCGTAGGAGTTTGTAGAGTGCTGTTTGTTTCATAAGGTTTATGCCTGCAGTGCATTGCTGACTTCCTGCTTCAGAAACAGAACAGCAGCAACTGAAGCTGTCCTCCTGTTTTGTCTGCAGGAGGAGTGTGTTGATGTGAAGGCTCTGAGGGCCAGGTTTAACAGCCAGAACAGGACCTCTGACACCAGCAGCAGAGACAGCGGGTCTCCGAAATCTCCAAGGCCAGGATTTGGGAAAGTGGTCCAGCCTGTTAAAGAGAACGAGCTAGCCCAAAAAATAGCCTTGGGAATTCCTCCTCGGCCTTATCAAGGTCTCTCAAAGTATCCAAAGGAGGATCCAGTGACACCCTCTGTATTTAATTCTTCTTCTCGACCTCCTCCTGTCTCTGTGGTAAGAGCATCCAATCAGCCTGGAGACACCAACAAGGTCAAACAGACGGGAGAGATGCTGCAGAACATGATGCTGAAGCACCAAAGACCTCCTGGCTCTGCACTGTCCCCAGCGAGATCTCCGGTGCTCGGTCCATCTCCCACCACCACACCTCTTCTTCTACGACATCAGCCTCGCCAAAAGAGCTCAGGAGAAGTGACCCCTCTCAGGAGGCCTTTGCCCCCTGAGGGGCCTTTGCCTTTAAAACCAAAACGACCCCCAAATGTCAATTTGGAGCCTTTTAAGAGGTTTAGGCGTGGAGCTACCCCGTCTGACCAGAGGAGATGTAAGTCTGTTTTAATGCCTCTTATTTGCTTAAACACGCAGACAAAAGTTAAGACAGTTTTCTCTTATATCAATTAAAAGAAATACAAATAGAACAGGCCTTTAGCCCGGCATTTTATTTTACATTACGGTAATTTAATTGATATGGTTTCATGTTATGTCTTTCAGAGGATAATATTTCATGTTATTTTTCACAATTTTCCCTCTCTGGTTCTCCCAATCTTTTAACCAGGCTCAGTGGATATAAGAATGCCTGTACCAGCAGTAATGAGTCCCCCAAAACCTCCACAACGATCCAGCAAACCGGGCAGGCTCCTGCGACAGGTCGCCTCAGAGTGAGTGCTCCAGTCTCTGGAAAAGCATTTGTTTTTTAGTTTCAGATCTATAAATCATTAAAAAGGACAGCATAGATAATACATGAAAGTTTATGCAGTGTTTATAAGTAAAAAAAAAACAACTCTAAATCCCAGACTCATAACATTAAAAGCAGCATACTGTAAAAGGGCCTCCATTCCTCAAAGCATAATTAAGTAGAAAACATGATTAATACTTCTAGTCACATGAGGTTAGGTGAACATGATTAGAAGATAAGTAATGAAAGAGTTGTTTGCTACTGACAGGGTGGCAGGAAATTGAACAACACAATTTGGTTTATTTTTAAAGGTATATTTTAAAGACTGTGTAAAGTATAAATAAATGTGCGTTCTTAGTTTGTCACATGACAGAAATGTGGTTTACTAATCACCCATCCAAATTTGAATCAATGAAAACACAACTAAGCATATAAAATCTAGTCTCTAAACTAATTTTAAAAAAGCCAGTTTTCTCTCCTGAGATGCTGGGGGCGTGTCCACTAGGCCTAATGAAACCACAGCAAAACACTATACTATTTTTTTTCCAACAGTTTTAAAGAAAACAATTACGCTAAATAGTATATTTACATTCTGCTCTTGAGTTCATGGGGGATCAGTGGAAGTTTTGTGCATGTGTGACTAATGTTCAATTGGGCAAAAGGGGAGAATCGCTGTGCTCTCTGACAGCAGACATGTGCTGCCGCTGCTACATCAGGGTTTCATGTGTTTCGGAGGTTGGAGGGGCTCGCTCACTAACTTTACACTAAGGGAGGTGAACTAATATGTGTTGAGTTATCAACAATGCACAAGTGGACTCGCTGTTTGCTTTTATATTGCTGGGCCAGCAGGGGCTGTGCCTAAGCTAAATGCAGCTGTCGATGACAGGAGGCAACATTTTTAGACTCACCTAATGTATCCTGAAACACAGGAATATTGAAACCGGAGTTAAATTCTAGTCCTACAGTGCAATCATAAAAGGTTGGGAGACTATTTACATGTGTACAATAAAACATTTAAATTTATAATGTTTAGAAGGAGATTGGGGAATTTTCTTTAAATTTTTTTAAATAAAATGAGAAAATACTGAAGTCTGATGATTTTTAGCAAGATAAAAAAAAAATAGAAAGGAATTCTTTCTGCTTGATTTATTTACTTTGTGTTTTGATGTTGAAAGCAAGTAGATGAAATCCTAAAAATAAACTACAATAGTGAAACAAATCTATTTATTTGAAAACTTTTTCTGAGATGAATCTGTATTTTTTAAGCCCTTGAGTTTCTTTGTGTCCCTTTTTAACTCCACTGATTTAGTCAAAGTTTTGATTTCGTCTGTTTATTTTAACAGATTAAAATGTGTTTTTTTTTTATCTCTTTGTTGTTTTCAGAGACTTTGAAGATGAACAAGAGACGTATGATGACATTGGAAGCTTTGATAACAACGGTAGGGTTCTGATAAAACTTCTGATAATATGCATATTGTGAATATTTCAACACCAGTTACAGTTAACTTTGTTTTGACAATTTGCAGAGTCCTGCAGTGACAATAATTCCCAGTGTAAGGATGCGGTAAGTAAAACAACGGCTGCAGTGGCTCTCAAAAGTCTTTACACCTCTGAAATAAAATCCAGATTGTTGGTGTTATCCTTTGAGTCCTTTAACACATTTAATTCAAGATAGTTCTTGTACAATTTGACTAACAAAAACAAACGAGTGTAAAAGTATGGCTGCGCAAGCTTGCACATGTTTAACCTTATACTTGGTTTATAGACACTTTTAATTTAATTTCAGCATCCAATTCTCTTAAGTACACACTGCCATCCATCATTTATAATCTGATTAACTAACCTAACTAATTAGTTTTCAGTGATGTTTCAAATTATATACCTGTATGGTAAAAAGTATCAGTGAGTAGTGTGTGTTTTAAACAATGGTAAATGAATGAAGATACAGTAGAAGACAAAAAATGTCAGGAAAGCTAAAAGCACTCCAATAGAAACAGAAAGAGAATCTGCAGTGAATATTGGTTTGTTTACTGCAAAAAAACAAAATATTTCAATCATTTGTTGAAAGAAGTGTATTTTCCTTTGGTTTGGGCAGGTTAGTAAGATGGCTTGCCAATAGAATAAAATTATTTATTCTTAAAATAAAAAAAATCAACAAAAAAGTGTAAATTATCTAATTATCTTATTTTAAGAATAATAATACTCAATACATTGGCAGATAAACTTTATTTACTGGCTTAAGTTAAATCAAATCATTAAAAGGAAATCATCTTGGGGCAGCTCATTCAGCAAGCTGATCTGCAGAAGGGCTGCAGACTATGGTCCACTGGTGGACCTAACTTCTTCCTTTAGCTGCTCTACCACAACACTTGGTGCAGAACCCTTTAATAACCTGCTTGGCCAAGAAATCTGACAAACTTGGAACAAGTTAAACAGACAGTCCAAACATCTCCGAAAATTGCATGCATGCAGCTAAATTTTAACTTAGCATGGAACAAATATAGGGTACACATTTTTATTTAAAGAGCAAGACTTCATAACTTTACTCTCAAATATTATGTCTGCACCCAAAGCTTATTCTATTCTTTATATACGCTTTCCTTTAATGTTTGCTTTCAGATGAAATGCACCTTTTCTCCTCCTGCTACCGAGCATGAGCTGCAGGCAGAGCGAATGGAGGATCTTACTCCCTTTCTTCTTCTTTCTGCACATTATAAAGAAAGAAAGCAGACATGTATTTGCACTGAAAGCTGTTTCGTAGTTTTCTCATGGTTGGCTGGGACACTAGTAGCAACATCCAAATTGTAATGTGAAAGTAAGAATTTCTTGGTGTCGCTCAAACGTAGAGGTCCAAAATTGCTGGTACTACTTTACCAAATTCCAAAGTGCATGAAGAGGGTAAATGAGGAAAAAACTTTATCAACCATTAAAGTGCAGGAACACAATTTATTGGAGAGCAACATGTTGTGGCTGTGCTCTTCTTCAGGGTCACAATGCCACAGACACAGCTGAAATGTGTTGGTCTCCAATTAAGTGTATCACCGCACTTCGAGTGTTGCTCTCATTCAAAGGTAGCCAGAACTTTAACACGAAACTTCTGACATTAAACTTCTGCTCTGGTATTGTGTGAAACAATCCAGAGCCCAGTACATAAAAGACCAAACAGGAAAGTAAGGACAAGTCTTTGGCCTAGAGCACTAAAACACTGGCTGATTAGCCTCCTAACAAACGACTGAACATTTTTAAAGCTGCTGCAAACATTGATTGAAAAAAGGCAAACATCAAAACAAAAAACAATTGCGATTAAGTTTCATGCAATCATTTGCTAAACAATAATTTTATATAACAACCGAATACTGTTTGCAGTTTTGAAAGTTGACATAAACTCCCTTTTTATTGCAGGATGATGAGGATGAGGATGATGTTTACGAGTTTATAGATGAGTAAGTATGAACTTCCTGCTTCTACACTTGAACCTTGGTTTTTAAAACTCTTTGATAGCCAAAAGTAGAAAGTGGTTACAGCTGCATGAACCTCATTGAACAAATTATTATTAATTTATTTCTCAGAACTCAGCTATTTTTAACTGTAGTTAATAACCTCTTCTGATTAATAGCAAGGCTTTCAGGTAATGCTTAAATATGATTTTTATGTTAACTGTTTTTCACGTTTTTACTAAATCTACATTCTAACCTGTTGATGCTGAATCGTGTACCAGACAAATGATTTTAAAATGAGCGGACTCAAAAACATCATCAGGGTGAATTTAAAAAACAAAACGACATTATATAAAAGCAGCCTAGAGAGAAGGATAATAAAATGAATGATTTTTTTTATTTTTTTGTCCTTTTTAAGTGACCAGGTGGGGGCAAGCCCCTTGCCTCCTGAGAGAACTAACAAGAAGGACCTAAAGAAACAGCAGGAACAAGAAAAGAAAGAGCTGTTGGAACGTCAGAAGAAACAGGCTGAGCTGAAGAAGAACTTTCAGGTAAAGGAATGAAACTAGTTCATCAGGACAGGAACCACTGCTGATCCCGTTTATTAAAACAAGGTTTTCCCCCCTTAGATACAAGGTGAGGTGAACGTTCTTCATACGGCTAAGGTTCGGGTGGACTGGGCCGCTGAAGGAAAACTTGACCTCAGTGTTCGACAAGGAGAAAGCGTGGAGATTCTTCGTGTGGAGAACAACCCCAGGGGCAAGTGGTTGGCCCGTTCAATGACCGGACAATGTGAGTCTATACTTTAAGTACACACATCCCCCTTCTATCAATTCTGCTATCAAATATAATTTTATATATATATATATATTTACTATGCATATGTGTGTGCATAGTAAAAGCAGATTTACAGGTTTGCCAAGTCTTTTTACTTTACAAGGCTGATTAGAGAAGGCCATTACTCATTTTAATGGGAAAGCTTGCAGATATTTAAATATGCTGCTTTAATAGTCAAACATGTGAAACCATCTTTAGTTTGCCTCTCTTTCTCTGTTTGCACTTTAATCAAAGATAAAAACGCGACTCAGTCGTGATGCAACTCTTTTCTTTGCTTCTTTCTACCAAATTGAGTATATTTCTCTGTGAGTTACATTATTTTCTGTTATTTTTGCTGCTACAAATAAAAATTGTTGCCTTGGGTTTCCTGCTTTACAATTAATATAAAATATAAAAGATTATTTCATGGGTACAAAAACCTTATTGTTCCATTAGGACAGATTGCTAGAGGTCCCTCTCTACCTCTTTTGTTCAGTTTTGAGAAATCATTCTAATTTGTTCAGTAAAGAAAAAGTAGATTTTAATTCAGATATTTTGTGTCTCTAAGCTTTTACGATTAAATAAAAGACAGTAATTAGATGGTTTCAGACTGGGTGGCAGAAAAACTGCCTCAGTGTGGTTACTGGTGAGTGCAGCAGTGGTTAACTTGTTTCATACTGCATAATGCAAAAGCCTTGAGTGATACAGTATTCTAGTTTAATTATTCTTCAAATTCCGGTGGGCATTAATATAATTCTTTAAAATGTCCTTTTTTTTAAAAAACATGTCTGTTTTTTCAAGCTTTATACACACGTAACAGTTTTCTTTAAAAATATTGTAGAACAATTATGAAATAACAAAAGTTAGCATAAGGCTATTAAAGACATAGCTGGATGTTAACGAAGTGTGGTGATATTATGTTTGGAATAGCAAGTTTAGGAATCAATGCATAAAATTACCCCAACCCTAAAAAAAAAAAAAGTAAATAGTAAAGTCTTGATTTTTAGAAAATCAAGTGAGGTTATGTGTGCTGATTTAAACACTGAGGTGGAAGGAATTAAGATAAATGCTCTCTGAAAGCAGGAGCTTGGCTACCTAACAAACCATCACCCTATAACAGGGATTAAAAGTATTGTTCTGTGAACCTTGTCCGTCATCTTTAAAAAAAAAATTCACAATAAAAGTTAAACATGACGGCTTGTATTTCAACAATAACAATGAAATTGTGGCAGCATTTAGACTGATGCTGTAACTTCTGCTCCAGTTCTCACCAGCATTTTTACTTTGATGTGCAGAAGTGTGAAACTGTATTTATCTCTGAACAACTTTATATTAGCACTATTGTACAGTGGTTGTGCTAGTGTCCTTTTCCCTTGTAATCAGTTAGTTGTGTTCACCCGAGGGATTCCCTGCACTGCAGTAATATCGGACCACGTAAAAAAAATAAATAAATAAATAAATAAAATCAGGGCTTGTCATTTCCTTGAGCCCCTGTCACACCTTGAATTTTTAGCCAGCATATGCCAGACGTACCAGAACCTTTCTAAAACACTTGTAGGCATTGAAGTTTCTGTGTATTTTTTCAATTTTGGGTATATACATAGAGTATTCAAAATGAGTCTAGAACTTATGTCCAATGACAGCCTAACTTATGCATAACGCTCAGCAATGTAATGCCCAAAAGATGTCACAAGCCAGTGTCCTGAGGGGGGCTGCAATGCACCTGGAGACATCCGGCCTGCATAAAAAGATATATTTGATTGTGGTATTATCCTAGCTGTTGTTTACTGCCTGCCAAAAAAAAGAATAAATAAATAAATAAAAAGAAAAAGAAAGAAAGAGGGTTTGCTGTCGCAGCAGATTCAGCTTCATGTCTGCTAGGGTGCTAGTTGGTTGTGGCTGTGGGTGTGAACGCAGGGAGGATCCATCACACTCACGTTTCGCTCACCCTATAATGGGGATGAAGTCTGGAGAACAGTCCTCCTGTGAACCCCCTTTTATACTAAATGCTATAAATACGGCCTTATACAGTAGCTGTAAGTTAAAAACACGTTCAGCAGTCGTCTGGATAAATAGTGTTGATATGCATTGGAGATAAGTTCTTGATAAGTTACGCATACCTTACTCATAGATTTTGGATAAGCTAGACACCATGACTTATGATTAACTTTCACTTAATGTATGTCAACCTATCAGATAACTTACCTGTAACATATGGCCCACATATAAGCATACACTGGCATACCTCAATGTACTTGCAATATGTCATCGTCAGCGTGTTCCAGCGTGCTTCAGTGTTCTCATCTCTTATACAAAACGTATCCAATGTATGCCAGCTTTTTTTGCCAGATCTTTTGTACGTCAGGCATACGCTGGCTAAATCGTCAAGGTGTGACAGGGGCTTCAGGCCTGTTAGCATTTAGTTTACCCCATGACAGCATGTTTTATGACTCTAAAACATAACAAACGCTATAACATGTTGGATGATAAGGAAATTTAAACAATGATCCGACTGCTGCCTAAATCATGCACTCATTTATATGGCTTACCGTAAATGGGAGGAACAGCAGCGATAAAGGTTTTTTTTATACCACAGCACTCTGATGATTGAGGAGTGATGCATCCTCTTAACTTGTTTACTTCCTACTTTTTTGCAGCCATATTAGGATCAAAAGGACTTACTTAATCCTCTTTCCTTGTTGTCAGGAAGCAACCACACCCCCACTTGAAATATGCATGTTAAATGTCATGTGTTGTATACAAAAGTCCATCGGATGTATCATCCATTCATATATGGTACTCACTTCCTGTTTTTAAAAGGTTACACAGACATTTTGCCTTGAAATTACTTTCCTGATTGAAAAAAAACTATATAATACTATTGATGATATAAGTAAGCACTATGTTTTCAATATTTACAACCTTTATTGCTCCAAATTATGATTTTTAACCTTTTGAAAGGTTTTTGATGATTGGTATTCAGGCCTTTGTGAAGATTAGTTTATAGATTTTCTGTTGAATTTGAAAGCAAAGCTGGAGGTGTAGCATGAAGTTCCCTATCCACAGAAAGAGGACACTTCTTTTCTGCGTAAAACAATTGTTTTGGTTGTTTTCAAAGAAAAAAATGTTTCTTAGATCATGTGTAGACTGGGCTTTTGTCTTCGGTTGAGGAACAAAATTGTTTGTCGTGAACTTGAATAGGTCTGTGGTTTTTCATCGTGACAGATCATGGATATAGTCCAAAGAGGTGTAAGAAATATCCAGAGATTGGTAGTAACTGATCAATGTTACTGGAGTTGTACCATTATGCAGTATGATTACTTTTATTTAATAATGCCAATTGCTAAAACATTTTACCTACTCAAACATTTTAAAGATTTCACAAAATGAAGAACCAGCTCCTCCTGTGCTTTCAGCACTAATAGCGTCATGACTCTCGTGCTCAAACCACAATATTTTTTTACTTCCTCCAGATGGATATATAAGCAACTCATGTGTGGATATCGACTATGAGGCAGTTAAAAAATATAAAACGTCACCATTACGAAAAATGGAGACATTCGATTTACCTCCGCCCCCCCCGGATCCTCCCATGATGTCAATTATGGAGTCCAACAACAGGGACAGGTAAAAGGATGGAGGATTAGTTTCGATTAATTTTTTTATTTAAAGACATATGCGATAAATTTTCACATGTTAAATTTTAATAATGAACTTTTTCTTGCTTTAACTACAATTTGTTTATTTATTAAATTTGCAGCTTTCTTCAAGATGATGGTGAGTTACATCTTTCAAACACAAATATATCAGTTTAGCTTTGGTGACTAGTTACTGTATATTGATATATTTAAGTCTACTTGGGGATACTTGGGCCTTGGTTCTCTCAATGCATGTTTTGGATCTGTCCTGGTACTTTTACTAAAGTCAAAATACATGGCATCCAGGATGTATCCCACCTCTTGCCCAAAAAAGCACCAGTATCCCTGCAAGGACAGGCAGGTCGTCATTAGATGGATAATTTAATCTAAGCTTTAATTCTATTTTCATTCTATTTGGTGTATTATGTAATTTTCATCCTTGTATCGGAAAAATGTGTGATGTATTTTTTTTTATTTCAGGTAATGATGTTATAAATACTACTAGAAAAAGATTCATACTTATTTTGTTTGCTAACATTCTTTCCAAATCCCCCCAAAAAACTCAAAAATTCCATTTATACTGTATTATTAAAAATGTGTAACAGTGCAGTGTTACAGTAAAAGCTGATGACATTTACCAGTTTAATTTACAACATTAAGGACTGGGTGTGAAGCCAATGACTTCTGTGAAAAACACATACCTCAGAAAAACAGCTTTTAAAGCATTTCTGAACAGCAATTCTAAGGTAAATCTAAGGTTACATTGAACTACTTAAAACCACTTCATGCCTCAGAACATTTTAACTTATTCATAGTTTATTGGTCCAAAGCATAACAGCTCGTAAGGCAGCTAAATATACCTTTTTCATCATCACATGCAGTTGTTTTATATTGAATACCTATTCAGTTTGATGTGTAAAGGTTGACATGCTTGCATGTTTGTCACCTTTTTGCTGCAGTAAATAAAGCTCATGCTTATTAAACTATAACTGACTCCATTTTCTCTCTGCCTATAGAGGATTATGATGATGTTCAACCATTGCCCGCTGAAGATTTCCCTCCACCTCCACCAGAAATTAGGTATCACATTACTTATTCCACCCATTAAGTGATGGTGTTCATTGTGCTCAGTGGAAGAGAAAACTTGCATTTGTACTGCAGATGTTGAAGTAAAGGTCTGGCGGATGAATATATTTAGTAATAATTTGATTAACTCACTTATTATCTTTTTTTTTGCAGCATAAACCCCAAATTGGAAAAAGAGCTAAGAAAGAAATTTAAGGTAAAACTTTCACAGCAGGTTGATAAAATTACATAGTTTAATCTATTGAGAAGTTTCTTATGGTTTATTGTAGACTTACTGTATATCTGTTCACTATGAAACTAAGAAAGAAAAGAAGAAGTTAGATGCATTATAAAATCCACTAGAAACTGAGTGTACTGTTTTCTTTCAGTATGATGGACCTCTCAGGGTTCTCCACAGCATGATGGTGGATCCTAACTGCGTCATAAAGAAGCTGGGAGGAAAAGATCTCCAAGTGACTCAGGGAGAAATTGTGGATGTCATTGAAGAAACAAACAGCAAGAAGTTTCTGTGTCGAAACAGCTTTGGAAAATGTACGTAAACAATTAGTTTGTTTGTTTTTACATCAGGAAAGTATGCTACAATTTATAACATAAGTGGAACAACATAAAGATTCAATGTGAAGAATATTCTGGGTCAGTGACCATCTCGTCTTTCATTGCAGTTAAATATTTAGGTGATCATTCAAGACAAAGAGTGAGCCCTGAGCAAACCAAAATAACTAAGCGGCCTCCTGCTGGTAGATACTGCTTACTCACATGACCACACTGTCTCTGTGGCTGGTTTTTATAAGTAGCACTGTGTAGCACTGACCTGAAGATATAAAAGTCTAGAAAGTTGAGTTTGCAGAGGTGTGCAACCTTCCACTATGACTCTTAATAACCTAGAAATGAGAAAAGACCTAAATGTTTATAAAGATAGATGCAATAAAAGGTGTTCTGTTTCTTTTCTTAAATGATTATATTGAATTTCCATAACAGAATGACGCAGAGCTATTTTTCCATATTAGATTAAAAACTATGATCTTCTTTCATGTTTTACCAGGTTGTATTCTAAAAGGTACTCATGGTGAAGGAGATACATTGCCTGCACTTATCAATTGTCAATCAGCAAAATACCTTCTTTCTTCCTTAGTTGACTTAGATAAATGAAAGGCTTTATCCTCACAGACATGAGATTTAAGCACTTTAAACTTGCATTCCTGTATTACTAAATGGGGGCAATACGAGTCAAAAATAGAATGAAAAATAGTCCCCAGGTAGAACCGTACATGGATTTTAATTTTATCCTGTGTAATCTTCCTTTAGGTTTGATGAAGGAGAAAAGTTGATAAACAGTAGCTGACAGAAAGAAAAAATAAGTGCTTGTCAGGGTTGTGTGGAGGTTTTTGAGGACCCAAATGCAGAGATAAGGAGGAAGAGATGAGTTTGCAGATTTGATGAAAAGACAAAGGCAACTGAGGCAAAAATCAATAAATATAGAAAACCAAAAAAACAGGAGATGCCAGGGAGAATCCCACACAGGGAGCTGAGTAACAACAAATCAACAAGAAATCAGCAATAAGGGAACTGTAGAGGTGGTGTATATATGTATGGGGAACAGAACAAAGCTGACATGGAGCAGGTGTGAATAGAACTAACTAGAAGGGAGCTAAGGGGAAAGGAAACAAGCACAAGGGAGCAACAGAGAGTAACTAAAAAAATAAAAAAACTTAATAAACATAACCCAAATGGAAAAGAAACAAAATATCAAGAAAACAAAGAATAACATAAATCAAAGTGGAACTAAAAACTTTAAAAGAAACATAAGTCCACAAGGAGGGAACCATAACAGTGCTGGATTTATTGCGAAATTAAACTGATTTTCTGTGTCTTGTCTACCCAGCAACAGAGTCTTTGGTCAAATAGGTCAGACCTGAGCTCACAGCTTTTTGATGACTCGTGCAAACCCTGACTTTGCTATCCTTAAACCACTTGGTAACTAAATGACCTGTAAAATTAAGGTCATTTAGGCCAAAACTTTCACTGTCTGCTCATCATTTAATTGGATTCTACAGAGTTCTTTTTGTTCATGATAATATATATGTAACATGAATTGCACCAGGGAACTTATTCCCCCAGGCTTATTGTGGTTACCATTTCACAGGGAATATTGTTAGGAGACATGCAGGTCTCATCTAATCATTGAGGCTAAACACTTTCTTTTCAAATGTTTTAGACCTGATTGCATATCAAAGCTGTAATCTGCATTTTTCTTTCTTTTCTTTTTGTTTCTTTTTTGAATTATGACCTCTTCCTCTCTGAATGGGCTCTCATCCTATGCTAATACAGGAGTTATTCGGCTCTATATAATCTTCTCTTGTACATGTGACCCATGGGGGACATTTACACTGTAGTTAATCTTAATGAGGGTTGAACAGATTCATTGGAAACCTTAAAGCTTCTGGAAATTATATGTAAGGAGGAAGCAGACCTGAGGGGATCCACCGCCATATCCTGGCTGACGTCTTCTGATATTTCTATCGTTTCATACAAGACGCAGTGGGTTTAAGGAGTTGCAGTAAAAAAAACAGCTTTCATCCTCCATCACTCAAAAAAAAAATATCTCAGTGTAGTGCAAATCCTAGAGATCAAAAGACGTTTATTTTAACCCACCTACCCTGTATCGGGTACAGTACTCCAATCTGACCTTAAAGTAACGTGTTTTCATGGAGTTAATATATATGGATACCTGAATGTTTATAACAAAAAAATAAAATTTTTTAGACTAACATTAATAAGAATTAATGTTTCATGTTTTTAATTACTGGGAGGGTAAAATTAGGAAGTAAAGAAGCAGAAGAATAATTTCTGCAGTAGTGCTTAGGATGAATATGGTTCTGTATAAGTGAATGTTTTGTATCTCTTTTTGCAGATGGATATATCTCAAAATCTCTTCTTCTCCCGATGTAAGTAAATCTGTCTCAGTTTGAGACTCAGCATCTATTCAGCATTATTGGATTTTTATTTGGTTAATTTTCATAATTTTTTTCAATCATTATTTGAAATAATGGATTTGTATACAGAGATATATCCAGACAATATGTTAAGATCATTCTTTCATTTCACTTTGCCTAATTCTACCATAGATAATTATATATCTAGTTACATGATCCAAGGATTTCAGCCAATGTTGTACTTTACTAAATAACTATTTATCTTTAGGGAAGGAGACATTTATGATGATGTGGACTACAATGATGGTAAGCTAAATATATTCTAATATTCATCAGATTTGCTTTTAAATGTACAGAGGAAACAGAGTTTTCCAACCTCTTTAATATTTGTATTCTTGGTTTCATTGCAGCCATTTGCTAAACAAAAAAGTTTATTTAATACCTCCTAAATGTACAGTTAGAACCATATACTTCCTGAAAAAATATGACAATTTATTAAAAATGAAAAAGTGAAATATCACATGGTCATAAGTATTTAGACCCTTTGCTGTGACCCTCATATTTAACTCACATGCCGTCTATTTCTTTTGATCCTTCATTGGAGTCTAGCTGTGTTTAATCAAACTGATTGGACTTGATTAGGAGAGGCAAACACCTGTCTATACCTTACAGCTCATGAACATGAGGTCCCAAAAAAAATTTGTGTTTATGTTGTTTCCATCTCTTGTGAGAACTGACAATAAGTACGCCATCGTTCACCATCCAACCCACTGATCTCTATTTATTCACTGGATTGCTGATAGGTCGAAAAAAACGAAGTCAGTGCTGCCATCTTGGTACTCCCCACTTTCACAGAGTTGCGCAATAAAAATTTCTGTAATGTAATGTAATCAATACATTTATATTACATTTACATCACCAATTTACCACTTTTTGTTCATCAGATAGTGTGTGTAATATTCTTAATATCTAAGTATAGTATTACTGTGCTCCAATAAGACCCTATTTTTGTTGTGTTGTATTTGTATAATATGTTATATTATATGATTTATAGACTTCATGGACTCCATACTAAATATGCAATTTGATGTGCCTATTTTTAATCCTAAATTACAGTCATCTACTGATGCTATGATGCTTGTTTGATGCTGTAGCGCACATATTGTTTACATTCAGACCGGTCTAACTAGGGAGTACCAATATGGCGGCTGGTGACTTCACATCACTGTGTTCTACCAACGGCCTATCAGCAATCCAGTGAATAAATAGAGATCAGTGATCCAACCTGACAGAAATCTCTGCAATGAAACAGAGTGCAAAACTTAAATGTGTCTGAATACTTTCCATACCCACTATGTACACTAAGATTAAAAGGTTTATTCATGCTGTTAATTTGTTTGCTTTTTTCTTTTTTAGATGTTTATGACAACGACACAAACTAATTGTGCACCTGAACATGTGGGGGTAAACTATCCAGGAAACAAACTAAAGCCTAAAGTTTTTCAAACTAGAATACAATCAACAATAGCAGAGATCCATCTAAGTACAAATAGTCTGTTTGGAAAATTGTCGTGTTTTGTAAATTTTTTTTTTTACTTTGCTGAACAGAAAAGGACAGATTTTCTTTTCATCTCACATATAAAAAGCTGTGTTGTAAAGTCAAACTAGTTAAAGTGATGTCTGTCAAACTAATTAAAATTCACAATAAAAACAACTCAACTACAGTTACACGACTAAACCATCTTGAATTAATAAACTATAACCAACATCTGTTGATGGTTTCGTCTTCTTCCATTCACAGGACATCAGGTATATTTTCTCATACTTGCAACACCAACACACACATACAGTCTCACACACACTGAGAATTATGAATTGTTTATTGCACTGTTTGTGAAAATGCTTGTATACAAATTGAATACACTATTTCTGTTGCTTTTTTTTTGGCATTGAAGATAATTTAAAATAAAAGTAATACTGTTCCTGTTTGAAAAGTGTGTGTGTTTAAATTTGACAAAAAAGAATGGAGTGCTATAGGTACAATGACGAGATTATTATGAAACTATGAATGTTTTTTCAAAAACCCTCTCTCTCAGCTGGGATTCCCCAGGGCTCGGTTCTGGGCCCTTCATGTTCTCTATTTGCTTCTGCTAGGAACCATACTTAAAAAGCATTTTTTTTAACCATATATAGATAACAGTCATATTAATGTCCCTCTTAAAAATAAAGATGCCCACTCTATCACTGCCTAATCACGTGTCCTGATGACATAAAGGCCCGGATGCCTCAGATCTTTTAAAATTCTAATTAAAGAAAGACTGAAGTGAAGGTTTTTTGGTGACACCACTGGAATAAATCTAGGCTCTACGATACAGGATATCAAACCAGTCATCACTAACCTAGGGGTAAAAGTGGATGCAGATCTGAAGTGTGGTAGCCAGATCAGGGACAGTTGATAACGCAAGTTTTTTTTTTTTTTTTTTAATAATTTGAGGCAGCTGGCCAAAATACTGCAAATTCTTTCATCTCCCACCTTCACATGGTTCAGAATGCTGCAGCACGCCTTTTAACTGACACATGCAAGTATGATACATCTCCCCAATTTTAGCCTCACTCAACATGCTGCCCATACACTTTATAATTCATTTGAAAAAAAAGTATTTGCTTTTAAATCCTTGAGTGGGCTTGCCCAGTGTACCTCTCGGAGCTTCTACATCCTTATAGACCTACTTGCTGTCTTAGTTCAGCTGCTTCTGAGAGAGCCTAAAACTAAAGCTTCAAAGCTCTGAAATGACCTGCCTCAGCACATCAAACAGACCTCAGGCAGGCCTCTTCTCTGTTTTTGAATCTCTTGTCAAAACCCACAATGTCTCTTTAGCACCTCGCAAGACAGTGGGCTTTATTTTATTTTTTTCTTTTATTCCTTTTATCTTTTACCCAGTTCTATTGATTTGATTGTGTGAATGTTATTGTTAACCATGTTTTAGCTGTTTTTATTCCACCAGCTTTTTATTGTTATTACACTGTCACAAATACAGAGCAATGACCAATTAACCCATCCCCTTGGGGAGCAGTGTAGGGTAAAGGGTCTTTGCTCAAGACCCAGCATGGCAGTCTGCGGTAGTGGGGCTTGAACTCAGAACCTCTGCATTCCAAGCGCAATGCCCTGGCCAACACTCCCAGCAGTACAGTTTTTATCTGTACTGTTTTATGTTTGTTTTTTTTTTGGTCAGCTGTGTTGTTCTTGTTTTAAGTGCTTAATAGATCAGATTGGAGCAGAGGTCTGTAACAGCAATAATAATGGGGGGGGGGGGGGGGGGGGTGATTTGACAACACTGATTGCATCTGAAATCTACTTGCTGAATGATAATATAGCTATTTCCAGAACAGAGATTCAGAAAGCATGAGTAATAAATGTATTTTAAGGACCTGAAAAAATCCCAAATGTTGCAGCAGACCAGCCTGGTATGTCTAATTTCACTAAAACAATGTTTCTAACTGCAGAGGAATGTTAAACAGCTAGACAGGGTAGCACTGCAGGTTAAGTGAGGATCAGAACTTCCTCCAGTAAGAAAATAGATATTTTAAATCCTAACAAATGAATCTGTTAGGATTCTATGTTTATAGCCCAATGCAAGTGATTTGGTGATTAAGTCACAAGGTTATTTAATACAGCTGTGTAATGATTGCAGGTTCTACTTCCTATACATTATGATTAAAAACATCTGTACTTTTCTAAACTCAAAATGCTTGATTTTCTTTTTTTTATTGGAAAAACCTTGCAGGAGGAATACCAATTCCCCAGCTCCCATGTAAGGATAAACAAGGGATGAATAGTTCTAGAACTTCATTAAACACGGCGGTGCTAAATTTGCTTCCAAATTTTTAGAGTTGTAGAGAACCATTTCAGTGCTACTTTGGCGTTTGGAAAGTCGAACTCTAAAATCTGCAACTTACAGACTTTTGAATGAGTAGCCTATACTAAATGCAAATCCCCTTAATAATTTGGTTAATATTTTTAGCCTGTTTTTCTTACCAACCATAGAAATGTCATTTTTTGAATTTGTTATGACAATGATTTCAATCACTAAGTCTAGTTGAAAACTAAAATACTTTGTTGAAAATGACAAATTATGAATTTTTAAAAACAAATCAAAAGCTAAACCTGTATATAAGCTACTGAGATCCAAAAAGACCGCCTGGCTAAAAGTTGAAGATTCCTCTTAACCAGCAAAAATGGTCGGCACAGGATGAGAAACGTGTAAAAGCCTAAGGTATATCCAGGAGAAGTACTACTTCTGTTTCTTACTAGTTGAGTTCTGCATTAACAAGGATCCTGTTTCAGTTCTAGAAGGGGAAATCTTTGAATATTAAAGGCCCATAGGATAATACTTAAGAACCAGAATAACTCATTAAATTGCTTAAAATACTATGCCACCTAGTGGCAACACTTTGCTTAGCATTCTGAAATCTCCAAGTACTTGTAATTTTTGGATAAAACAATTCAAGGAATAACAACTAAACATAAAGGAATATTTTAAGAAAATACTCAACAATGCATATTTAGTGAATCAGAAAATTTAGATTTAGCAAAGAGGATCCTTGAAGGTAATATATCAATGCTGTAAGACCTAAAGAATCTGTGTATCATTTGTTCATTTATCAAATTAAAACAGAAGATTAAAAATATTTTTTTTATTGTTTCAGATTCAAAACGTCACATTTACCAAACAATTTTTGACAAGAACTTAAGTTTCATCATAGCATACTCCTCTTAAAAAGCAGTCTTGTGATCTCACATGCGATGTTTAATCTTTAAGAATGCAAATATGCTTTTGTTGCCTTTGATTATAAACAACACTTTTAAATCCAAACATTGTGCTACAGAGAATGACAGGAGATGTGCATTTATCCCTTCATAGTAAAAGAGATGGGGAATAAACTAAAAGCTATATGGGTCATACTTTACATTCTTTACAGCATTTAATGAAATAGCAGAAATAAACAACAAACTTCGCCCTCATAGACAAAAGGAATATTGGAAAATCAAATGTTTTAATTCGTTGGTAGATGTAGCTTTACTTTAAGATGCAGCTAATAAGTCAAACAACATCTGTAAACAGTGGAAAATATTATTTTAATTAGGAATGAGGGCCTTTACAATATAGCATATATACAGCATTTTACAAGTCACATGTTCTTGTTTTAAAAGATGCTTAGATTTAATATTCTTCACACGTTATAGGATGAATAAAACAAAACATCTATTTTATGAAGTGCTGATATTTTTTATGGTTATTGCTATTCTATCTGAATTGAGAACCAAGAACAAGGAACATTTTGCTTAAAAATAAAACAGTAACAGAGGGGGTTAGCTGGGGCTAAAAAGAAAATTGGTACATCATTTTAAAGAAAATAAACATGACTCAGGATAATCGATTCGGCATGACACACGGGGACAATTTGGATGATATAAGCATATAACATTTTTTGTAAATAAAAAGGTCAGAGGGGAAGAAGTGTCCAGTTACGAAGATGTTTGAAACATCTTTCTCGGAAAACGCTGATCATGATCCAAAGAGTCTGCAAAAAAAAAAAAACATTTGCTTGGTTAGAAAATTTGAATCTTACAAAGATTTCAAATGCTGTCTTTAAACAGTAGAAAAGTTCAAACCAGGTCAAACACAAGAAATATTCACTAGATGTTCATATCAAACAATCTGACTTTCTGGTAATTCTGCGGTGCCGCTAGTGGCACCATGTTTCTTTATTTCTGCTCATTGTGCCTTTTGCTGGTATTCCATTTAGGCGTATGGAGGATTATTTTAACACTATCAGGATGAACATTTGGTTAAATAATTTTTTTATCAAATCAAAATGTTTATGGTCCATTATGTATAGGCATATAGCATGACATTTAAAGGATACAAAAATGAAGTATCAGAAAGGTTTAAAATAAGATAACATTTGATTATTTCTTAGGATAAATATCTTGAGTTGCATGTCACCATTTTTTTGTGTGCACAGACAAACAGAGGGTGACTTACACGATCATGCAAAACATCATGAAGATGTTCCAGAAAGCGATAAAGATCCTGAAGTATCGCAGGCTGAGAAGGAACTCTCTGATGTTGTCACCTGTTAGCAGACAGGAGGGATAGAAAAATATCCAGATAAACAAGTGAACGGAAGTTATCCCAAAAAAAAAGGTTATTCAGGAAATCAACTCACCAGTAAAAGCTTTACATTAAAAACCAAATTAGTTTAGAAAATTGCTTCTTCTGCCTGGATTTTCTACATTTTAAATGTATTAATCATTAGTTTATTATAGTCTGTAACATACGAGAAATTTCCTCATAACTTTACTTTTTTTTCTGCCTTTATTACATAATCTTAAATATGAAAAGTTCTGATGAGTTACTCAGTACTTTAGTAACCTTTGTTACCAAATACTTTTTACTCTTTCTTCAGTGATTTCATAAATTTCTTCTTTTTACACTTAAATAGAAATAAGATGAAATAGTGCTATTCTTACTTCAGTAAAATTTCTGGGTACTCTACCCACTTCTATTTTACTTACTAAATACATAAACTTTAAAATACTTTTGTAGCTAACCCGTAGTGCTATGTGTTTTCCAACATTCCCCTGCTTATGCTGCATATCAAACAACATTCTTTACTTTCTCCTACACATAAATACAGACCTGTTGTCGGAGCTCCAGACTCATCTCCAAACCCATGAGCCTCCTTCCTTTTTCTAACAGAAAACAAACACTCCATCAGCTACTAGCCTTTACCTGACTATTGCATCCATTTAACTTCGTCTTTATCATTTTTACAGTTAAAGAGGCACCTGTACTTACAGTTTGAAATTCAGCACTGCCCCTGCGTTCACCAGCAGCGTCCTAAAGACAACAGAGATTCACAAATGTTCACTGTGAGGAAATGTTCACTAGAGAGCTAATAATGTTGCTAGCTGCTGAGTTGGCAGCAACGTTTCACAGGATTGATCGATATTCTCCTAAAGTAGCAATAAACTGCTACATTCTCATAACAAACTGGTAGGCAACACATTTTCTGCCGATAAAAAAGAAGAAATTATATTCATAAATTACCCAAATATTAACAGATCCCCCAGCATTTTCTTCACATCCCAAAACGCCTGACTTCCGGGTATCGTGACGTGATCGGGGTGGTACCCAATACGACTGCGGGACGTCAATGATCACTTTGTCCTGAGGTAAGACTTAAAGGCACGGCTCGGGTTTATATCTATATGAAATTAGTTAAGAAAAAACATACCTTAACAAATTAGACCAAAGCAAGAAGTCATATTTTACATTGGAAATATGAGGTAGGAAATAAAGCTATGTATAGTCACCAAAAGAAAACCATCTAACACACGTTATATCATTTAGAGAGGCTGATTTCATTTTTTTTTTTTTTTTTTGGTAGACTTGTATTTTAGATTTTGCCCCTTTGTTACATATATTTAAATAATAATTTTTTTTTATCGATTAATCCAAATATTTTTTTACAACTCCAAGGCAAAGAAAATCATTAATTATTGCAAAGATTATTTAAAATAGGATTGCTTTAAATCAATGACATGTTATGTGGTTATTTAAGCTGTAATTGTAAATCTAGAGAGACGAAAAAATGAATCATCTAAACAATTTATTGATGTCATAAATTATAATATTATTATACTATTATACTAATCAGCAGGTTTACTAGTGGTTCCTACAATTTCTAAAAGTAGAATGGGCGGCAGATCTTTGAGTTATCAGGCTCCTCTCCTGTGGAACCAACTACCAGTTTTAGTCCATGAGGCAGACACTCACTAAAGTTATGCTGCTATAGGCTTAGACTTCTGGAGGACATAGGGACCCCTATTTCATCATTCTGCTTCATTCTATCTCTATTCTCCCACTCTGCAGAATAGATTAGTTCAATCTCTAACGTTATGCTCTCTCTGCCTTTTCTCATAGTAGCTTCGCCTCATCTGTTCCTGTTTGCCTGTGACAACATCCTGGAGAGAAATATCAGCTGTGCTGCTGATGTTGGAGATAGGCCTTTTTTTCCAGTGTAGTCCTGTTTCTCTGACTGTGACTGGCTGGATGTGCTCTCTTCATCCTTTGACATGGGAGTTGTCTCAGAGCTCGTTTGCCTGGCTGTGTGTTTCCTGGACGGGGCCGCCTTTTACAGTTGCTTTTTGTATTTCTGTCTCCTTGAACCCCAGCCGGTCTCGGCAGATGGGCGCTCACACTGAGCCTAGTTCTGCTCTAGGTTTCTTCCTGTTAAAAGGGAGTTTTTCCTCTCCACTGTCGCTACAAGCATGCCTAGTGTGAGGGATTACATTGGAATCAATGAGTCGATGCAATCAACTGATTTTCCTTAGATAGAAAACAATCAATTTGGCTGTATGATCTGGTGAACTGTAAAGTGACTTGAGATTACATGTGTTGTAAATTTGCGCTATATAAATAAACTGAATTTTACACATTTTTATGTTCTTAATGAGGTATTTAAAAATCTAATAGATAAGATTATCTTTTTTTTAGTCACATTTGTATGTTCATTGAGGCACTTTTTACTCTCACAAGAATTTTGGAGAAACCAGTGGTGTTTTGTCGCCATCTAGTGGACAAGAATATTAATGCTATTTTCATTTGTCGCAAATGAAGATAAACAAATAATGAATTCATTATAAAATAAAAGATATCGGGAATTTTATACCACCCAAGTATATCAGTAGAATTCTTTCCATAGTCGGTAGCTTAGGTTTTATCGAAAAAAAAATTAAAATAAACGCTGGGTATTAAATTAAATGGATTTAGGCTTGTTTTTCTCTGATCCACTGAATAAATTGTCCACATTACGCATGGACACGTGCCTCGCGCTTTATTATGATCCGAAGCAGCATTAACCCTCAAACAGCCTAGCGTGGCCCAGTTTGCAGCTGTTTGCAGTCCAGACAGAAGGAGAAGGCGTTTGTTTTCCGAGCAGCTGGCATGAAGCGCTCAAGAGGATGAGGATGAAGCGGAGACGCGGTGGATATGGGTGGTATTAATAGGAGCGCTCCAGCGTCGCAGGCGTTCACTTTCGAGACTAGGGGGCTTGGTGGAGAGTCGGTGGGCTAAAAGGGGGCTTCTTATCCAGACTGCGCAGTTTGGACAATTAATAACAATTATAATCCAGGGAATCAAAGGGATTTTTCTGCTCATCAGAGTGGCAACATGGAAAACGTGCTGGCAGTTCTGAATTTGGGCGATTTTGCCCAGATGTTTTCCAAAATGGGAATGTTTCCTGTATTTGATCTCGCATATTACATCGTTTCCATCCTCTATCTCAAATATGAACCAGGTGAGTGATTTTGACAGACTTATTATTATTATTATAATTTTTTGCAAGCTGAATCTTTAACTCAGTGGATAAGAAATAAAATGTAGAGTCCATGATATGACCCAGTTGCAACGGATCTAAAAAAATAAAAACTTTGTTGAATCTTTGACATATTTGGAATCAAATTATAGCATTGGTGGTCTACTACAAGCCCTCATATTAGCTGAATAGTCCTGCAGATGGATTTTAACCTTTCCTTATAAAGCATGACCTGTTACATAAACTGCAGCAGTGCCTCTAAAGCTGATCTCTGTTTTTTAAAGCCCTTGTGCGTTAAAGCTGCAACCTCAACTCTTGTAGAGTAAACTAAGCTTCTCAGATATGGGTTGATTTTTCTCCACGTTCTGGCCCATTTGACCAAGAGAGCCTGCAGAAGAGTGAAACCTGAGAGAGGAGAGAGCATGTGCATGCCAGCAATAAATAGAAGAGCCTGAAATAGACAGAGTCAATGTGCCTCTGAAGACACTGTGTTACACTTTTTTGGGCCTCAGTGAGGTCTGCTAATCCCTGCAGGCTCAAACATTAAGAATGCATCTAATCCCAAAACAGATTTTCCTTTCTATGAAGTCAAAAGACATAAAAGTATAAGCCATGTCTGCTTCCTTTTCTTTCAGTGTGACATGTCCTACATATAAAATGGGGTAGAGCAGATTCCTCTCACATCTTTTTTTTGTAGCACCTTGCACAGTTTGAATGAAATAGCATAATGGAGCAAAATATAATCCTTTGGTCCTTAAGGCACATTTTTTCCCATGTGTTATGTTTCAGGACTAAGACGAAAGCTCAATCAATTTTAATTATGGTAACTTTTCTTTCTGACCAAAGGTTCAGTTAAAGTTGGAGAATATACTCACAGTCACTGCTATATTTCTGTTATTAATGTGTTACAAAGGGTTAACACAGCCAATGTTATATACAAAACACTGCTGTGTTAATCACATTTGCCTGTTTAGAAGTATTATATGTGGTATAAAACACATAATTATTCAGCTTAAATTGGTTTGCACTTCCATTGTTAAACATAAAGAGCATGAATAATAATAAAAATAACTTTTTTGCATGATTAGATAGCTGTCAGTTTGTGGTGTGAGAGTAGGACTCAAGTACAGACAGGAACATGGGAGCTGTGTGGTGAGTTGAAGGGTTTCAGTTATAACCAAAGGATAAAACTTAATACCAGACAAGAGGAGAAAAGTGCATGGAGCCTGAGGAGGGAGACTAATTAAGATGAATAGAGTTAAAGGAAGGTGAATAGAGGTACAAACCAGGGGGGAAAGATCAGCAGAGATCTAAGAAATAAATACAGCAACATAAATGAACAGAACAAAAGGAAAAAACTAAAAAGCTAAATAAAAGAAAGTTGAAGTGATTTGGAAAGACTTAAATGGATATTAATTTGTAAAGAGAACACCCTGGAGATTGTGATACAGGTTTGGAATAACAGTAAATCTCTTCTGTAGATCATTGATTCTGAAAGTTGTATTTAAAGTTATAGAAACATTACTAATAAGTAGATAAAACCAAATAGAATTGTTGTTGATGCCTTCTTTATTACTATTGTACCAATGAGTAAAATAAATTTATATGTTAACTGTTGGTTAAATATTTACATTCAACCAACAGTTTGGGACATGATTCAATTCTGGTTCTTTTAATAAGTTTGCAAACCTCTGCTGAAGATAACGTTAACATAGATGCAATAATGAGATGCTTTTGTAGATAAACTTTTACCTTATATTGACTTTATGGCTTCCCTTGAGTCTGTCAAAATTTGAGAGAACACTGCTAAAAAAAACTGCAGCTACAAAAAAAGTTGCAGCTACAACTTAAATATATCCACCCTTGTTAGTGATGTAACATGGTGCCGTATTAATAATTTGGGTGGCAGGATTTTCCCTTTATGCACCAACGAATAATAGGAAAACTGTCAAGAAGTAGAAGTAAGTGCTGGTTGCTATATATAAAGCAGTTATAAAAGTTTTTATTTTGTGTTTCCTCGGTTAATTCTCTGCGGCTGTTTTGCCATCCTGAAAGTGAGCTTATTTTCATAGCCGTAATTTGACAGTCAAATACCTTCTGCTGCCACGCCAGCACGTATGAGATTACCCATATTTTCCACCATCAGAGACGACGAGCCCATAGTGCAGGAGAACATGAATGAGTCTTTAGGACCAAAATGATGGAAGACAGACAAGTATGAGTGTGAGGTCAGAGGTCAGGCCTGAGGAGGGAGGAGGACTGCAGATGAATGTATTTATAGGCAGAGCAGCATGTTAAAGATCAGATTGCTCTCACACTGAGCACCAGTCAGACCATGTCACACCCACCCACCTGTTGCTGAGCATTTGCTCCTGCAGCTCAGTTTGAATGTCGAAGCAGCAACAAGTCTATAATTGTTATCTGTAAAGATGTTGCATTTGTCGTTTGCCTCACGTGTGCACATTTGAAATATTCTTCTTAGTTCCTTCCAGGGATTCGTGTTCATATAGATATAAATAAAATCTTGGTGTGATTGTCCTCTCATGCCAATACGCTTCAGCTAATTATGGAGGACCCAAGATGAATGAAGTCACATAGATTCTTGGCTCACTTCTCTTTTGTATGTGACTAGAAAATCTCTAGAGGCATCATGATCACTTCCTCTATAGCAATAGATCTAAATGGTACCTCTGTTTAATTTAGTTTTTTTTATATAGTACCAACTTACAACATGTCATCTCAATGCACATTACAGAGACAATTCAACCAGATCATACAGTCAGATCGGTTTGAAGAAAACCAGCTAATTGCATCGACTCATTAACT